ACAAGAGGTGTGGTCACTTTGTGAGTGAAAGGAAGGAAATGAATGGGTTTGACAGAAGATTGGGAAGGTGGGGGAATAAGGAATTCAGTTTAGGATATCAGATATCCAATTTATGCTCAAAGGGCGGTTGGTCATGTGAGAAGGGAGGTCAGGAAAGAGGTTAGAGCTGAGAATATATACAGATGAGGGAATCATCTGCATTGGGATAATGAAATCCATGGGAATCAGGTCACTAAGTGCAAGTAGAGAGGGACAAGCATAGAGGGGCTAATCCAGAGCACTAGGGGATACCCAGGGTTAACCATCATAACCCGGATGAAGACCCAGCAAAGAAGACAGAAGGAGCCGTCAGACAAATGGGAGGAGAACCAGGAGAGTAGAAGGGCCTTGAGAGTTCATCTAGTCCAACGTCATTATTTTAGGAGAACTTGCCCAGAATCCCACAGATAGTAAATGGAAGAGCCAGGGTTTGAATCCAGATCCAGGAGTCTTTCCCCTGCACCACATTGTCCCTCCCAGGCCTGTCTTACACATAGTAGGAACTTTTTAAAGTGTTTGCTGGATGTGGTTGAACCTGGTGCTCTTTCTTTCCTTCATCTTTTTTTTGCTTTTGCTTTTTTGGTGAGGCAATCTGGGTGCCCAGGGTCACAGCTAGTAAGTGTCAAGTGTCTGAGCTTTGCACTCAGGTCCTCCTGACTCCAAGGCTGGAGCTCTATCCACTGCACCGACTAGCTGCCCCTGCGGGGCTCTTTCTAGAGGGTCTTGTTGCCAGTCTGAGGCTGACTTTCTTCTAGGCAGGGATGGCTGCTCGAGGTTTTTGAGCAGAGGAGCAAATCCATTTGTTCAGTATGAACTGATGAAGTGCCTGCTACTGGGTGTTCAAAGAAAGTTTATTCTCCCAGGGAAAACAGCATGGACACTGATAAGTCAGTATGAAATCTGTACCAAGTAATTGGGATAGGGAACGAGTACTAATGACTAGGAGGTGGGGCTTGACCAGAATCTTGAAAGAAGCCTTGGATTCCAGGAGGAGGAGGTAGAGGAGGGATGCACTCCAGGCCTGGGGATCAGCCTGTATAAAGACATGGAAGTAGAAGAGCCAGATTGTGGAGATCCGTCAGTGCCAAAAAGAGGAGTGTGTATTTGGGTCTAGAGGCAAAAGCAATCCACTGAAGTTTCTGAAATAGGAGAGTGACATAGATCTATGCTTGTGGAATATCAGTTTGGGAACCGCTTTTGTTCCAATAAAATCAATGCAGCTAGGATAAGAAGGGAAGCTGTTAATTGGGGAAAAAATCTTTGCTGTAGATGTCTCAGATAAGGGTGTGATAGCCAGCAGCTTATCTAAGGAGCTAACCCAGGTATCCTGAGAGCAAGTCCAGTGGACGAGTAATCCAAAAAAAAAAAAAGGAATTTCAAACTATTAGCCATATGAAAGATGTCACTGATAAGAGAAATGTAAATCAGATAAACTTTAAAGTTTCACCTTATACCCAGCAAATTGGCCAAATAAAGAACAAAAAAATAGGAATGATCGGTGTTGGAGGGGTTGTGGAAAGAAGACCTGACTGCTCTGAAAAACAATTTGAACTTGTATTTTAAATGTGATTCGAATGTGCAGACCCTTTGACTGTCACCGTCCAAAGTCCCATCCAAAGGCCACACATAACAACCGAATGTTTGTAGCAGAACTATTTGTGGCAGCAAAGAACTGGAAACAAAGTAATTATCCATGCTGTGGCTCATGAGTGGAATGGAATGTCCTGCTAAGCCCCAGAAATTACAAATATGAAAAATTCCTAGTTGAATGGGAAGTCCTGAGGACTGATGGGGAGAGAAACGTGCAGAGTCGGGCAGTGACTGCTGACGTAGTGCCCATGGAAGGAGCAGGCACTAACCCGAGCTCTTCTGCGTGAAGAAGGGCTGGAGGAAGAAGACTTCTGTCCTTCCCTCCTCTCCAGGGAGGGGATGTTCCATAGGGATAAGGCGTGGCTGAGGGGCTGATCTGGCTCCGCAGCCTTAGCCTTTCCCTCTTTGTATCCTTTTTACAAGGGACAGTGAGCTTGAGGAAAGGGAGGAACATATTCAAAAATGGAGGTGATATTTTAAAAAGAGGCACAAAAAAAGACAGCAATAACAGTGTTTACGCTAAAAATGTGGGACTTTCGCTTTGGCAGCTGTGTGGGCTAAGTAGAGAGGGGAGAGAGTTGGGGCAGGGAGACTGAGGAGGATGCTGTTGCAGTAGTCCAGGTGAGAGATGGTGAGGGGCTGGACTAGGGGGTAACTGTGAGGGTTTGGTATCAGGGATGCAGCACTTAGCACAGTACCTGGCACATAGTAGGAGCTTAGTCAATGTTTAATACACCTAAAAACAAGACTGAGCAACAGACTGGCCATGGGAGGGAGGACAAGGGAAGAGTTGAGAGAGACACCGACATTGAGAGCCCGGATGGTGCTTCATTATTTTGCATGAGCTTCCGTTGGCCCTCCTCTGGGCTTTAGGACCTCTCCCAAGAGTCAGCGTGAGTTAAGACCAGGGGGATGTGGGTATAACCAGCGCAGCTTCCATCCTTGGCTGGCTGTGGGTCTCTGGAGGTGCCTAGTCTCCCATTAGGTGACTCACTCATTCCTGTGCCCCAAAGGTGGGGTAATGGGTAGGTAATTGCTTAACTGGATAAAACAAGCAGTATGCCCCGCCCTCAGGACCTCCATTCCTTCAGGCCTGCCCTGTAGCCAACCTAGGACCGCTAGGCCTCCCCGTGCTTATCCTTCCTGGGTCTGAGCAGCCTTGAGGCCTGGACTTCAATTATTTGAGCCCCTCCTTCCAGAAGTGCTCATCATTCTCATTGTAGAACCTCAAACCAACATGGGGAGGATGTAATTAGGGGTTGGGTTTGGAATTCCTGCTGGCGCTGCACATGTGGGCACCGCAGTCTCCCTTCCCATCTCCGCTCTGCACACGTAGTTTGCCCAGAGTTTCCAGCTTCTGCTTTCCAGGGTGGTCCTGCCTTGCCAAGGGCTAGGCTGGTTGCAGGCCATCCTCAGTTGGGAAGTTTATCATTCTGCTTCCTGGACTCTTCCTGCCTCATTTGGGAATTTTCCCAGGCCCTAGACTGCATGCTTCCCCTTGCTTTCCATGCCTCTGCTACTTTGCCACAGGGAAGAGGCAAGATAGGGTTTAGGAGGCCAGGCTTGCTCTCCCCTCCAAGCCCCAGCTTGTATGTCCTGGGACGGAGCCTTCTTAGCTGGGCCGCCCCCCCAGAACAGGCCAGGCACACCCAGCCCACACAAGAACAAGACTGTGTTTGGGGCTCTTTTCCCCTTTCATGAAATATCTGACCTTTTAGAAAAACAAAACAGTGATAAAGAAGGACCTGGAATGTTGCAGACTGTGTACATTTGTCTCTGGGTTTCTTTTGAGGTTTGTTGTTTACAATGGCCCAGCGGGGAGGGGGAGAGAGAGCAACTGTCCGCCAGACTGGCCAGCAAGCTAGGCCTTCCTGAGAGCGGGGCTGTTTCCAGGGGGGTCTTCTTCGGTGGTCTGCACCTTCAGTCCTTGTAAACCTCCCCCAGGCCAGTTCCCTCCCTTCCTGATGTCCCTTCCCCCTTTTCTCCATCTCTGTCTTATGTCTGCACTCCTGGTGCAAACTCCCATCCTGAGCTCCCTTCTCCTTTGGGAATACACGGGATCCTAGGTTTGGGGCTGAGGGTCCTCAGGGGCTGTCTGGTCTGACCCCCTCATTTTATAAAGGAGGAAACACGCCCAGAGAGGTGTTAGGTGACTTGCCCCAGATCACAGAGGTGTCTGAGCTGGGATTTGAACCCACGTTGTCTGACTACTGATAATAACTCACATTTATATGGCTCTTTAAGGCTTACAAAGGGCTTTACATACATTATCTCATTTGTTTCTCACAATCCTGTGAGGCAGACCCTGTTATATCCCCATTTTATGATGGAGAAACTAAGACTGAGAGAGGTTCAGTGACTTGCCTAGCATCACAAATCAGTAGGTGTCTGAGGCGAGATGAGAACTTGGGTCTTCTCGAATCCAATCTGGCAATCCCAAAGCCCACACTGCCTCCTCCCCACCTGGGACGCCCCACAGGAGGACTGCTGCCCAGACCCAGCTAGGGGCAGCTGGCACACCCAGGGCTGGGAAGGGCTCAGCAGAGTCTGCATGTACCCCTCGACTTTAGAGGCATAAGACAATGTCAGTATACCCTTTTTTTGTTCAATGAAGGTGGCTCCTGTTAGGAGTCAGACATTGAGAGTCAAGTGGATATTCCCACATGCACATACATACTAATGCACACACGTCAGGATGGGAGAGAATCTTAGCACAGTTCCTCTGAGGATTGCGCTAAGTTTCCATTTTAGTGGTTTGAGCAGCTCTGTGTCCCCTCTGTGCCTGGCAGAGCCTTAGGGTACAAAGATATTAGGGTGAGGCTTTGGGAAGTGACATTGACTCACACATGATAAAGGTCATTTCTCCTCCTGAAGGCTGATCTTCTCCAATGCCAGTAGCCTCTCCTTGAGGTACAATTCAGGGAGCCCTCACTGGCTGGTACAAATCTGGGGAGATTGGGCTTGGCCCAGATGTAAAATTTACTGTCTCCTGATTGCTACAAATAGACAGGGCTAGGTTGTAGTATTGTGTTGACATTTGGGTCCCAGTTTAGTTAGAGGATAAGCATCTGATGGGCAGAAGTTAGAATCCATCCCATTCCCTCAGCCTGCTGGCTCCTGGGGAGTGTGCCAGCTGGAAATCCTGTCTACGTTGGCCCCTTCCCAGCTCAGGCTTTGCCCATTCTTTATGCCGGTCTGCTGGATTTAGCCCATCGCTAATTGGGCCTGGCTCCCAGGTGTGTGTGTGGACACACAAGCACATGTACCCAGGGTTTGTTTGGGTCTCCCCAAAGGGGGAACTAATCCTCAGTCTGTCCCCGGCCTACTGGCACATCAGGCTTCTCCCAGGTGACGGGACCTCTGTGTTACAGGTGCAGCATCCAGGGCAGTGTGATCTGTAACAATGTTGTCATTGAGAAAGGTGCAGATGTCAAGGATTGCCTCATTGGGAGTGGTCAGCGGATAGAAGCCAAAGGTAAGGCCCTTCTGGAAGCAGCCTAAAAGGGCTGGAGCGGGGGTGGGTGACTGAGTATGTAGGACATGGTAGAATTACCAAGCCACACAGTCTAGTGTAATGTCAGTGTCAGAAAGGAGAATGGGGGCCAGATAGGGAGAACAGGGTCTGAAGGAAGGGCGATTCTGTTGGCAGATGGCCTGCCTGACCTTCTCTAGCCTCCTTTGGAATGTGGCTGCAGCAGTGTTACAGACATGTGGCTAAGGGGCTGATGGCTGCCGGGGAGGTAGTGAGGTGCCTAACCCCTCACTAGGTGTACCTCCTGCCCCCCCCACCCGGAAAGAATCCCAGTGCATTCTTTCTGGAGCTCCCCAAGCCCTTCGAGAATTTCAGAGTCAGGATCTCAGGTGTCTAGTCCACCCAGCATCTCACCAGGAATCCCTCCACAATATCCTTATCATCCTTCCCTGCAGTGCTTAGGCTGAGCTTATGCACAGGGAAGGAGGACTTGATAACCTTAGAGACCCCTTCTCACTCTAGTCTGGGGTCTGGGGGAAAGTTCCCAGAGGCAGAGGTGTGCTGAGGCCATCTTCAGCATGGAGTCAGCCAGGCAGAAGGAGGAGGAGCTTTTGTGGGCTCTCTTGAAACCTGCAGCAGTAATTTTTAAAAATGTAACCGGGGGTCCCCACATTCCAGCCATGGTTCCTCTACCTCTCATCCTAGGCCTTTAGGTGACCTAGAAACGGGGAGTCTCTGATGCTTCCAGAAATAAAGGGCATCATAGCTTATGTTAGAGCCAAAGCATCCCTGTCCCGTCCTCCCCCACCAGCTTGGCTTGTCTCTTGCTTTCTCTGCCACCATTGAGTTTGGGACCTCCTTCTTTGCCCCTTGTATTTGTATTGAAATGCTCCATGCTTTGAAAAGCCCAACCACACAGCCCCACCTTCCCAGAGGCAGCAGCTTCCTCCCAGTCTAGCAGGACAGCAGCTCTGGGGCAGCCAAGGACTGTTTCCCATTTGGTATAAAGGGTTTCTAAATTAGGGGATATAATGGAGTGAGTAAACACCATACAGGGCTGCCTCTCAGGGCCCCAGCTCCCTGGTGGGCCAGTGCCTGGGGCCAGGGCCACCCTCCTTTCCTCAGCCTCCTGCAGTGTCCAGAGCCCAGCAGCTATCTGCCTGCCTGCCTAGGTTGACTTTCAGCATGCCAGAGCTTTGGGGGGAATCGGGGGCCGAGCAGGCCAGGCCTTCCCTTATCCAGCCTGGGCCTGACCCCTCTGCTGACCTCTGGTCTCCCATCTCCAGCTGCCTCTCAGACATCTAGAACTGGACGGCCTGTGCACATCTTCCACCGAACCTGTCCAGAGCAGAACTCAATTAGCTTCCCCTGAGCTGCCCCCCTACTTCCTCCCTTCCCAGTGATTATAGAAAGCACCACCCTCCTCCCAGCCCTCAGGCTCACACCCCACATCTAAGTTGTTGCCAAGGCCCGTCCATTTTACCTTTGCAGTGTCTCTCGAACACAGCTCTGTCTCTCTGGCTCCACTCCCACCCTCTTGCTTTTTATTGCAGTAGCTGCCAGGGGGTCTGCCTGCCTTGAGCCTCTCTCACTCCAGTCCATTCTCCATTCAGCTACTAACAGGATTTCCCTAAAGTGCAGCTCTGTATTTTACCCCACTATTCAGTAAACTCCCATGGCTCCCTATGGCCTCCTGGACCAAATACAAAGTCGTGTTTGTCATTCAAGGCTCTTCATTTCATAACCTGTCTCTCCACACACCTTTCCAGGCTTCTTGTACCTTACCCGCCAGTGCAGGCCCCCACTCAGCACACACACACACACTCACACTCACATTTTCTGTGATTCCTTGACATTCACCGGCTGCCTTCCTATTCCTTGTACAAGACACTTTGCAACTCCAGGCATTTTTACTGACCATGCCCCAGGCCTGGAGTGTCTCCCTCCTGGCTTCCTTTAGGCCCCAGCTAAGTCCTTCCTACTTTCCCAGTTCCCTTAATGCTACTGACTCTTGACTGTCTCCCATTTCTCCAGTGTCAGTCTTGTTTGTATGTAGTTGTCTGCATATTGTCTTCTACCTGAGCTACTGCCATTTCATGACTGGTCTGTAAAAACGGGGTGGGAATTCTGCTGGCCACAAGGATGGTGCAGAGAGACCATGGCAGACATCCAGGATAGCCAAGCAGGCTTGTGGGAGTGCTGCCTCCAAGCTTATTGTGGGGGCAAGAGGGAGAGAAATGATGAGAAATGAGGCTGCAGAAGGGCTTTGGGAGCCACTGAAGGTTTGGGAGCAAAGGAGAAGTATGGCCAGATGATTCTGGCAGCAGGTGAGGGCTGCACTGGAGGGAGCACAGGAGAACAGCCCTGTTCAGAGTCCCCAGTGACTAGAGAGGAAGGCATAGGTGTCAGGGATGGGTGAGTGGGTGGATGGAAGCGTGTATGGATGCATGGATGGATGGATGGATGGGTGGGTGGGTGGGTGGGTGAATGGATGGGTGGATGGATGAGTGGATGGAAGCCTGGATGAATGGGCAAATGGATTGAAAGGTGTTGGTTAGGTGCTCATTATGTAATCAGTAGTGCTGTGTAAGTGCTAGGCATACCAAGAGAAAAGCTAGACAGCCGCTGCTCTCAAGGAGTTCCCACTCTCATTGAGGGAGGTGACACTCATGGAAAGTTTTAGCTTCAAGTCAGGTGGAAAGACCCAGTGGTCCTCAAAATACAAAGCAGACAGAAGCACTACACCCTCTTTCTTATCATTTCCACTGACAAGTAAAACATCATCAGTTCCTAATGCTAAGCTGTTGACCAGGGCCAGGGATTTTGGGAGGAGAACTTTCTTTTCCTGGTGATCAGGAAGAGGCATGGAATTCACCCATATGGGAGAGGCTGCAAGGGAGGGCCCGGGCTGAAGTGGAATGGATAGCAGTTGGAAGGCCACAAGGCACATGGGGCAGACTGGGGATCAATAAGGGTGGGCCCTGACTGGACAGGTGAAGCACCCAGCCGGAGAATGCAGGCCAGAGGGCAGGACTGGAGAAGGGCATAGGGCAGGTCCTCATCATCTACATGAAGGTGATGAAGAGGTGAGGCCTTGAGACCCAGCAATGAGGAGCGCTCCTCAGGGAATGTCCACATCAGGGTCCAGGAGGGAGGAAGCAGAGAGGTCACTTTTCTTCATCAGCCCTGCTGATTTGGCCAGAGAAGGAGGCAGAAGCAGCTTTCCCCTTCCCATGCCCCACTAACAAGGCAGCCTCTTTGGGATCTTTTGGAGATGCCTTGGAGGGGGGAGGACTCAGCAGCTCACCCACCTGGAACAAGCCACCCCCCACTGGCAGGCTGCACCTGGAACAGCTGGAGGTGCTGCAAGTCAGGGCCACGTCCTGTTGGCAGCTGTCTCCAGTGCTCAGCCAGGTGGTTGGAGGCCCTCTCTGTGCACATCTGGGCCCCAGGCTCCCTGCCCTGGCTCTCAACCCGAGAGGCCAGTGGCCTTCAGTTGGATTCCTTTTTCTTTATCTCCTGGCCACCCTGCTCTTCTCTCTGTGTGGTTACACCCTCCAGGGCCCTTGCTGGGCTTCTTTTCTGTTCAGCCAGACCTACCCAGCCATCTTTGCCCATGCCATCTCCAGGCCCCAGAGTCAGGGTTCTCTTGGGACCTTTTTCCTGAACCCCCAGTGTGATCTCTCCATTCTTAGGGACTTAGGCCATCCCCTGGACATGGTGGTGCACTGCCCTTCCATCTCTCCGTCCTCTACCGCCTCTAGTCTCTGCTTTGTTCTCCTTCCTCCAGGCTCCTGTGAAAGTGGCCTGTGGCCATGTAGGGTGGACCTGAGCTCACTCCTAAGGGGACGAGCTTGAGAAGACCAGCCTGAGTCCCTCAGGCCTCTCTCCCAAAGCACCAGTGCTAGGACACACATCCCTCCCAGGCCGGCTGGGCAGCCTCTGGGGTCCCTTCCCACCACAGCGATTCTAAATGTCATTCCTAGATTCTTGGTCATTCCTAGAGGCTCAGTGATGCTTGGGGGGAGGAAATAGCCTCGGAGGCTCCTTCTTGGCCAGGCTTATTGAGGGGCCATCAGTGGACCCTGGATAGGAGAGCAGGATTAGAGCAATGTCCCTGGGAGGGGCAGACTTGATATTTCCCAAGTCAAAGGTGGAAGTTGGGACCGCAATTGAACTACAAAGGAAGTACTGACGTTAGCTCTCAACAAGCCTATTCCCTTCCTTTTCTAGCCAAGAGAGTGAACGAGGTGATCGTGGGGAATGACCAGCTCATGGAGATCTGAGGTTGCCAGTGTCTGCATCCTAGGACTGGGCAGAGGCCCAGCCTTTGCCAACCACAACTACTTTCCTGTCTGGCTGTTTGTATTGATCTCCCAATAAAGACATGTCTCCAGTGGACTCCATCGACTCCTGGGGCTGTCCTGTCCTCAGACACATGACCCTCGGCCAGTAGGATTTCACCCTGAGGACCACACAGAGTCTGCTGTTGAGCAGTGACACAGACCATCTGTGCTGATCTAAACAGAGGTTCTCCCGCTGCCTGGGAGCTCAGGAGCCCAGCCCCCCCAGGACCCGGGAGCTTCCGGGTCACATTTCCTGCCTGCTAGCCTAGGATGAGCACTCCCAGGGATTAGCTTTTAGCTCTTAGCTCTCCTCCTTCCCCAGCCCAGAGAAACCTCTGGCTCTGTGACTTTGGGGTGGGGGCCCCCCCAGACCAGTTGTACTGCTCCCACTGGCGCCTTCTTGAGCCCCATCACCCCCGGAGGCTGCAGTTTAGCAGTGACTGGCTAAACTGGTTGGGATTCAAGGTCAGGCCTTCCCAAGGCCTGCTGCTGATGGAGCCAAGTCAGAAGGGCCCACGGGGGTTGGCTAGTGCCCTGAAATGCCCTCTTATTCACCAGCCCCAGCCCCTGTATGTCACAGAAGGCAGGTGGGCAGAGGACCCTCCCCTCCTTTCTCCTCTGCCCCTTTTTCCCTGCACAAGATGGGAATATGGGGAGGTTTCTTTTCCTCTGCTTTTATGACCTGCAGGTGTTTGGTGGGAGATAAAAGCAGGTCCTGGGGTGAGATTTCGTAGCCCAGAATTATCAAAGTGAAGGTCCTCCCAGTGGGTGGCAGTAATTAAGAAAAATAATTTGAAATAATAGTTTATACATTACTGCACAAATCCCAAGGCCTGGGGAGTTAACGCTGCCTTGCTGTTGATGCTGGTTGTTCCTGCCCTGGCGGGGGGAGGCGGAGGAGCTGCCTCCTCACCTGACCCACGATGAGCCAGCCCTTGTTTTCTTGTGTTTTCTCAGTTCCCACGGCTGGCCCCAGCCAGCTGAAGGGGGCAGGGATATTTTCCTCAGCTAAACTGGAGCACTACATCTGGGATGTGGGAAGAAGTGGTGGAAGGAGCCTTGCCCCTACCCACCTCCCCCAGGAGAGATCCCAGGGCTGAAGGGACCTCAGAGGGCTTTTAACCCAACAGCTACCCATTTTACAGATGCAGAAACTGAGGCCCAGAGAGAGAAAATGAGCTACCCAAGGACAGCTTGCCACACTAGTCAGACCATATTTTCTGCATTTCTGAATTCAGCTCTGGGAACCATATTTTAGGAAAAGCATTGATAAGCTTATAGAAGAGGGTGACCAGGTGGGGAAGGGTCTCAGGATCACACTGTGCCAGGATCCCCTGAAGGAACTGAGGCTGTTTAGAGAAGATCAGACTTAAGAGGGCCTGATGGCCTTCTTCCAGAGCTCGAAAGGTGACCCACTTGGTCCTGCTTGGCCCCAGAGAGCAGACTTTGGAGCAGGCTGACTGTCAGGATGCTTCCAACCAGGAGGTCTGTCCCAAAGGAGAAGGGGCTTCTTGGGAAGGCTGTGAGCACCTCTCACTGCTGGGCAATGACCCTTGTGGAAGATGCCTACCAGCTTGGACTCCATGGTCTCTGGTCTTTCATGGCTCCTTGAATGACCACATATTGACACACAGACTTGACTCTCCCAACGAGGCCTCCTGAAGGTCCTCTCCCTTCTGTCCCTTGGACTGCTGTCACTGACCTCAGGTACCTGTCTACACCCACGAGTGCAGGGGGCAAAGACCCTGAGGGCAGTGGTTGGGGCCCAGAGGGAAAGTCAGTATGAAGCCCCTGAGAAGCTCTTCCCCTCCAAGGGCACTGCCGGTGGGGTCTTTAAAAACAAAATCGGGCAGCCACTCCCTAAGCACCTTTCCAGAGGAGGGATGTGAAGGGGATGCTGGCAATGCCATCCCACACTCAGCAGGGCCAACTCCGTCCCCTCCCTAGACAAGCACTTCTTGATCACCTACCATATAGATGCACTGGGGCTGCACGGGTGAGAGGGACAAGGACCCCATTGTAAGTAACAAAAGGTGAGCAGTTTGCAGTGGATATGAGGAGGGACAGGTTATGCCTGGGAGGTGCTGGTACTGGGAGGACTCGGAGGATTTTAGCAGGTGAAAGGAATAGGGTGAACAAGGTCAGGGAGATGGGAAGAGTGGATCAGAGAGGCACTGGAAAAGAGCAAGAATAAAGCTGGGAGATGGGAGCTGGACTGTAAAAGACCAGGCTAAGGAGTATGCATTTGATTCTATAGGCACTAGAGAGCCATTGAAGGTTTCTGAGCAGGATGGTGACAAACTCGTACCCTTTAGGAGCCTCTCAGAATGGTCCAGGTAAGAAACCATGAGAATAGGAAGGGATAGATGTAAGAGATGGCAGAACTCTAGTGTGCAAGACAGCGTTTTTCATTTGACTGAGTGTGAAGGAAATTTCAGAGATCACTTGGCAGTTCCGGCCAGACAGGAAAACAATCCTTGGCCTTTTTGTGTTGCTTTATCCAAATATGATCTCATTTGACTCTCTCAAAAGGCCCAGGTGGTCGAGGAAGAGGGTGGTGCTTCCAACTGGCAGAACCCTCGATGTCAGTAAAGGGAGTAGATTGAGGGAAGAAGGTGTGTTTTAGAAATATTGAGCTCCAGAGGTCAGTCCGAAATCCAGGGAGATATGTCCTGCATCAGGCTGAGCAGCCTGCAGGCCCCTGTCGTCCTTGGGTCCGCCTGGCAGTCTCCGCAGCCCTAGGGTCCTCAGCTCCTGCTACATTGGACCAGGGCTCAGCAGACCCCTTAAGGCACTGGAGATGGGGTAGGGGATCATGGGGGAGGAATCAGAGCTTGCCCTGCCAAGTTGTACCTCAATCCTCCCTCCAGGGCTCCAGTTCATCCTGCTGGGAGCTGGAGGAGGAGGGCCCTGGGGGCTGCCAGATGGGGCAGTGGCTCAGCTGGGGCTGCAGCTGCTTCTCACTTCTCCAGGATTCTGGCTTGGTTATTAACTTGATAACGGGAAAGATGCTGACTCTGCTTTGTCCCGCTCCCTCCCAGACTGGCAGACACCTATCACCCCTTGCAGGTAGCATCCTGAGCTGACCTCTCTGGAGAAGGCTTGCAAGGAACAGAACTATATAGTTTTCCCTGAGCCTGAGGGTGGGGGTGAGGGCAAGACCATTGTACTTCCCCATTCTCTCTCTCCCTCCCCCAACCGCCAGCCCCCAGGGCCCATGAGCAGCCTGAGCCAAAGGCTTTGCCCAGAACGGAATGACTGGGGTTTTCACAGCCCTTCCTGGGGTGAGGGGAGGCCAGGCTGCAGGGGAGCCCACCAGCTGGGCTCTGCAGGCTCCTGAGAAAGGACGGGAGGGGGAGACCTTTTTCCAAATGGAGAGTGAGTAATTTGCCCCCAGCCCCCCTCCCCAAAGTGGCTGGTGGTGTCTGCCTTAAGCTAGGCCCTTGTGCTCAGGCTAAATGGTTAATTGTGTCTGAGGAAGATGTCCCAGCTCCGCCAGGCAGCCAGACCACCCAGGCGGTGGGCTGGAGAGCATGCCGACAGCATCCCGGGATGTGGGAGTGGCTGGGGCCACAGAGGGTGGGAGGGAAGGAGGGAAGGGAAAGAGGCTGGGAGGCCAGCGTTCCTGTTCGGGGGGCCCCCACCCCGTCGGCCAGCCAGGATGCCTGCCCACACAAGAACCAAGCAGGAAGTTCATAAAAAGAAAGCCAGGCCTTGGGGCTGCTATTTGTAGGGGACTTTTCTCCAGCTTCCTCAGCTGGCTTGCTTGGGCTCTTTGATGGCAGTGCTAAGAGCTGGGCCTGACCAGCTCTGGATGAAGGAAAAACCAAGACCAATGGGAAGTCCCTCTAGCCCCTGGCCCCAACAGGCAACACTCCCAGTGGCCCCTGCTACCTTCTGAGTGTGCTGGGCAAGCCGTCTGAGCCATGGTGGCTAAAAAGTTTCCTTTCCTGGAGGGTACATGTCATCCTATACCCCCCACTCCAATGGCCTCCACTCCTCCCCTGCACCACTACCCAGAAGCTGGTCCCTATAGGGGACCCCACATTTTTGGAACCTCTCAGGTTGTTTTGATACCCCGATTGGGGAGGGAAAGTCTGCTGCCTGGAGGCTGGGGAAGGGGGCTGATATAGGCTGGTTAGACTGGACCCCTTCCCCAAAGTGAAAGGAGGTGGGTATAGCTAGAAATAGCTAAATGGAGCACTGAGCTCATCCCCTCATTTCTCTTGGCCCATCACACCCCAGGGTATTGGTGAGTTCCCCTTGCTCAGTCACCTGGACAAGTCACTGCCCAGAACAAGACCTGACTTTGAGACTGACCCTGAGGTGGGAGGAGGGTTTCCTGGTAATCTTTCTATGAATGTGTGAGGGAGGGAGTATAAGTGGTTAAGTGTATCTGCTACTAATAACCCCTTTAGTTAGGATGGAGTAGGTGTCATTCATTCCAAACCTGACCAGTGCCTGTGTCTGAGCCCCGCTAAGGAAACCAGGAGTTAGCCCCCACAATGAACTCTCCCTCAAACAGTGCCTTGCCTTGCCCTTCTGCCTTTGTGCCTTTGCTTCTGCTGTTCCCCTGTGTGGATCACTCTCCTCTTTCAGCCAGCTATACAGATCTCCCCACCGCTACCCCTGCCTGTCATGGGAAAGATGAGAAGGCAAAATGGGAGAGACCTCAAAGGCCAGGACCAGGAGCTTAGACTTGGTCCTGAAGGTAGCGGGAAATAGTTTGAACAGGGGAGAGACATGACCAGATAGTACATTATGGCAGAGTAGAGACTGGAGGCAAGAGGTGACCAGGTAAGAGGCCATTGCAGCAGTCTAGGCACGAGTGACCTCAACCTTACAGGGTACTTGGGAGTAAACGTGTTTGCTTGTTAGAGGCACAGTAAGTAGAACTCTGGACTTGGGGTCAGGCGAACCTGAATTCAGATGTAACCTTAGACACTAACTAGCTATCTGTGTGACCCTGGGCAAGTCACTCAACCTCCCCCTCAGTTTCCTTAACTGTGAAATAGGGATAAAAATAACACCTACCTCCCAGGGTTGTTGTGAGGA